TTGTGATTTGGCGTTTCTGTGTTTGAGATCGATCTCGACAAAGAGAGCCTCACAATCGTCGGCTGTCTGGATGATTTTTCCATCCAGACCAGGACCCACGCCAATGGCGACTCCACCACAACTGTCTGATCTGTCCCTCCTATACAGCTCATAGTCTAGTTCGGGGGGAAAGACTTCATGGTTAGAAATGTTGGGATTTAACCAGGTTTCTGTAAGGATGACGATGCCAGGTTTAGCGGTGTGCAGGATGTTCCAGAATTCCACCAGTTTGTTTCTGATGCTACGACAGTTAATGACCAGAACGCCCAGGTTTGAAGGAAGGGGGGTGCCGGCAATATTGACAGGCGCGTTGGATTTATTTGGAGACAAGATGGCTGATGGCAGACCAATTGGGCTATGAGAGCTAGTACATGCGCTGTCTAAATTATTTTCTTGAGATATGTTGCTGCATGTACAGGATGAAGATGCATGTGATGCTGGATCAGAGACAACGATGGATGATTCAAAGAAACTTGAAGTGAAGTGTAAGACGCCACAGGTAGGGCAATGCCAACTTACATCAGGGTCGCATAGGTAATTAAATGTTTGAGTGCTTATGTGTACAGAGTTCTTATGAAACCAGACTTCGCAATCATCACAGGCTACTGCAGGGGTTTTCCAACGAACAGCACGACTGCAAATACCACAGGGGTACTTAGGCTTGTACCGTAATTTCCTGCGGATAAGGCGCGCGGCGGATAAGGCGCAGGTCCCTAAAATCACCCCAAAAAAATTCAAATGCCAACAGATAAGGCGCACCGCCGCATAAGACGCATGTTTGACCGCACACAGAAGAACACCAGGCGTCACCCGGTGTCGGTACATCGCCACAAAGGGGCCATTGTGTTGCCTTAGAACGATCACACTATTCGGAGGATGAATTAAACCGTAACCACATTGGCTGGTCACATGTAGAGCCATGAAGAAAAGACCAATGTAAATTGATACCGACCTTCATCCATTCAGCCAACGCGCGCTGTGCATGCTTGCTTGCGGTTTCCGATCCTGGCCTTCCTTGGCCTTTTGTTAATGCAGTGCGGCCCAATCAGCGGCCAGAAACGATGGTCCACGCGCTGTCTGAAGATATTGCAACACGCACGCTGGATCAGATTCGTAGACTTGCCCAGTCCCTCCGAGCCAGATGTTGTGCCCTCTACCGGTGACTAATACAAAAACTAGCGTCGCCTATATGTATATACCATACGAAAATAATCCCGTCACACCGGGGGAGACGTAACAAAAATGTTTTATTATATTTTTTAAAAATTGTTGTAATGTTTTTTTGTATTTAAAGTTCTTTTCCTTTATTTCAAACCTATAATTTGTTTGGTGGGTTTGGTGGAGTTTGTTTGACCTACTATTATAATAAGATAATACAAATTCCCATAATACTTTTTAAAACAAACGTCTAAAAAGAGGCAATTAATAAATGAACGATTTGAACGTTTAATGAAACAAACGAAAGTGCAACAAATAAACATTAGTACTTCATATTATCCTAAGTCTAAAGCAGACTTCGAAGATATCCTGTACAATAAACACCCTCAACGTTTACACAATAGAACTTGAGTGAATGCGATTTCCAAACGTTTAAGTAATTCTGATTACAGCATTTTCGGAATGAAAAAACGGCCACAAAGAAAAACGTTTGTATGACGGCATTGTTGGAACGAAAGCACGATCACTAAGGGGGATCAACGCATTGCGGCATTGTTGGAATGAAAGCACGATCATGGGGGATCAACACATCGCAGCATTGTTGGAATGAAAATACGGTCACAATGTCTGGAGAGTTGAGCCTTGGTTGACCGCATTATGGATTGCGGCATTGAAAGAATTCTTCACACAAAGACCGTCACTTTGAACTCAAGCGACACCAGATAAGGCGCACCTGTAGATAAGGCGCAGCGATGTTTTTGTGGTCTAGAAAGTCAGATAAGACACGTCTTATCCGCAGGAAATTACGGTAAGGCATCGCAGTTCATATCAAAGTTCAGAGTTCACCCGTAGGTCTACGTGTATGCATGTAATCATGGCATAATGGCAGGCTTCAACATAATGTTCAAGATGGCCGCCATGTGTGGGAGTTCAATATGGCTTGCAATAAATGTGGATAATTGGCACCAAAATACAAATATGATGATATAGAGAGTGACCATGTGTACAATAGGATGCAAGTAACCCGATTGACAAGGGATTGGGGGTGGATGGCTGAGAAAAATTTGTTTTCAGTTCTACTTGCGAAATTGCATGATTGTCGACCATTAGCCCAACTAGTGTGGCTATCGGTATGACGCGCTGAACCAAAGGCCACACACTGTGGTCCGCGCTTTACTGAGGACGTTTTCATAAAATCTGCGGTCCGTTTCTTACATATGGTTGTATTCTATGAGGTCCCATCTATCACTTCTGGGATGCTTAGGTGTAATGATGTTCAATTTTCCGAGATATTCTTCAATCTTTCTGGAGCCCATATGCACTCGTGATACGTCTGGTGATGGCAGCCATTTTGAATGTGACAAGAGATGACCCCAAGCTGTGACGTCGTGTTTATGCAAATTGCTTGTCGAGCGAGGGCGCGAGTTGCAAATGCGACAGCTGTTTCCTGTACCATGCATTTATTGTATGGGGGCCACGTGCACTGATCTCTATTCAGGATCCACGGCACAGGAAACAGCCGTCGCATTTGCAACTCGCGCCCTCGCTCGTTTTGTGCATACCTGTAGCCTTGTCAAGTCAAATAAAATTCCATAAATTAATGCAACGATGTACCAGTTGCATTTTTCGTTTTTTTTTTAATCAATGTCCGAGCACGGCGAGCAGAAGCAGATTCCACTGGACTTCTGCTTAATGTCTCGCCGTACCAAGAAAGACTACCGGAAGGTGCTTCGGGCGGTCAAGCGGGAGGGCCTTCGCGTGGCAGCAACGTCCAGCAGTTTGTCGCAGACTTTGAGTCTGGACTGTGAGCCGCCTGTGTGCACTGTCTAACTGAAAACCCAATCGGTCCTTTTCAGGGCCACCATGCATTTGCAGTGACATTAAATAAAATTCAAATTTTAAAAAATAAATAAAATTCACCTCCACATTGTTTTATTTTATGAAATATAATTTGGATACATAATAATTAGGACTAAAAATTATCGGACCCAAGCAAAAAATTAACTTTTCTGACCCAAGAAAAAAATTATTTTCAGGGCAACCTCGCATTTCCGGTGAAATTAAATAAAATTCAAATTTTAAAAATAAATAAAAATCAACTCCCCATTGTTTTTTTTTTACAAAATATTATTTGGATATATAATAATTAGGACTAAAAACTATCTGACCCAAGCAAAAAATTAACCATTAAAAACGCTTTTAAACACGAATAAGAATATAATGCAAAGTAGCGGTAAAAATATTTACGGTCGAAAATTCGTAAAATAATGGAAAGATATGGCCGGGCACACCAGATGCACAACGCTATCAGGATGGGAAACTGGCGGACACTGTCCGTACACCTGTATAAGCATGCGTGATGCCATATTCCTTTTTATATAGTAGCTCCTTTTTATACAATAGACCTCGCAAATATCGGTGTTTTCTTGTCATTTTACTTGTCTAACCAACCAGCAACTGTACCGCGGCCATGCCCGTGCATACACAGGTTACAGCGATTCAATCATGCATTCTTTATACAGTGCGCGGTGCGGCGCGGCGGGAACCAATCATACTGGTTATCGCGAAGACAACTTCCCAATCAATCAAGCGAACTTGTAAAAAAAAAAAAAAATGCAGAATTCTTCTAAAAAAGCGCGAATGTAAGTAGCACTGGCGGATTCAAAAATCAACTACATTTAATTTGAAAATCTCAACCTTTCAGTAATGGTAAAATTATGCTGACCTACCGTACCGAACCTAATTTCGTCTGTCCATGTGAGCCAAACCAATAGTCTAAACTCACGCGTACGAGTTGGTCCGCGTACGAGTCGGTCCGCGTACGAGTCGGTCCGCGTACGAGTCGGTCCGCGTACGAGTCGGTTCGCGTACGAATTGTCTCGCGTACGAGTTTGTCGCGTACGAGTTGGTTCGTGTACGAGTTGACCTGTATTCCTGACTGACTGAGTGCCGTTCACATGGTCGACTAGCCCCATAAATGTGTCCTATTTACTGGACTGCCTCCGTAAACATAGGCCACACATCCACATGTACAAAAACGTGTCGACTTTGCCAAATTTTGATTTTCACATTTAGGCTTAGTTTGTAGGATTTTTTTGCTTTAGAAGCATACTCACCCTCTTTATAGGCTAGTCAGAAAGTGCTGCCTTTTTCAGATGTCTTATTTTTGTGAAATTTCATGTTGAAATTTTGATACGCAAACGTGTAAAAATGAATCTGGAAATTTCACGAAAAATATACATCTGAAAAAGGCAGCACTTTCTGACTAGCCTATAAAGAGGGTGAGTATGCTTCTAAAGTAAAAAAATCCTACAAACTAAGCCTAAATATGAAAATCAAAATTTGGCAAAGTCGACACGTTTTTGTACATGTGGATGTGTGGCCTATGTTTACGGAGGCAGTCCAGTAAATAGGCCACATTTATGGGGCTAATGGTCGACTAGCCCCAACACTAGTGTCAGTCAGTCAGTATGGTGAACGGTGAAACCTGAGGTGAAGGCTCTCAAAACGTCCCAAAATTTAGCAAGAGAACATCAGAAATAGTCCAGGTGATGAAAGAATGTATTGGTGAAGGTAAAAGCTCCTCAAAGAAACATGAAAGCATGACTTTTCAGTAAAAAAGGAACGAAAAAACCAGAGTGAACAGAGAGCACGTCTGCACTGCATGAACATGATGAATGCACAACACCAATGTAACAATTTCTAAATAATCACGCAAAATACTTAACAAAACTACCTTTGAAAGCACCTACTGGCTTCTCCACATGTCAAAGACAAAGTAATGGGGCTTCAATGATACTCACGATTATTCTTTGGCTTGCAAATCTGTGAAATTCAACCAGATATCGTACAGCGATCATCTACCCAACGCATTTCTAATTCTATATGCACGTAGTGACGTACACCATGAACATTTTTGTACATGCAAACACGTGCATGAAGCATGGGGACACGACCATTTGGAATGGAGGGGAGATTGTATGCTTTGCATCGCGAAACAGTACATCATATTATATGATAAATGCTGCAGATAATTTGGTATCGCACTAACGCTCCCCTCCATCCCAAATGGTCGAGCCGAATGAAGAGTTGACTTGCTGAGGTCACGCGAAGATCAGCGCACGTGCAACGTACGTAAACATTATGGTAGCAGACCAGTAAATAGAACTTCCATAGATCCCAATGGTAAATGCTCCCACTTCAAAAATTCGGGAAAAATACTCACAACTCTCCAAGGTGTTCGAGACACACCTCAAATTAAAACTTATTTCACTCCGTTGCAAAATAGAGCGCTTTTAGGGTCCAAATTACATCCAAATTACACAGAACTGCAAGCTCCAGGGTCCAAATTACATCCAAATTACACAGAACTGCAAGCTCCCAGTCTGCACCCTTTCATTGCGTTTAAATGGTGATGTTCTTTGAACGGATTGAGCAATTTCAGTATTTTTTTTTATCTAAAAGTAGTTTATTAAATTGGCTTTCCAGTCATTATTTTTGGTGCTACATATTTTTTTAAATATGAAATACATATTTTGGGGTTTGTTTTCCGTTTTTTTTTAAGAAATAATTTATACATGTATGGGTAATCAGTGGCGCACCCAAAGGGGAGGGGCTGGGGCCGCCGCCGGCACCCAAGAGGCTGTCGTTTTGGGGTGTTTTTTTTTTTGTAATTGTTTTTAGTCCCACGATTTGCCCTTGGTGATATGTATGTATGTGGCCTATTTTTGAGTAGTATAACAGGGGAGTAAGTGGTGCAATAGGGGTGTAAGTGGCGCAGCCAACATCATAATAGTCCGCCCCCTAAAAAAAAAAAAAAAAATTGAGGCCACCCCCCACCAAATCCTGAGTGCGCCACTGGGGGTAATCACCTCAATTTAATGTTGAATATAACCATAGATATAACTTACAAGGCTATATGACCTACTATGGTTGTTAAAATATCTTCCAAAGTAAACAGTTGATACACCTTGAACATTTCTTTTGAAAGCTTTTCATCATTTATTCCCAGCAGACTGAGTCCTCTTCATCAGTGACTTGAAATCAACTTATCGACTTAAAAAGTCGAAACAAATTTACAGACAATGAAATAATAAACGGTGCATACAGCGAGATACTGAAATATAACAGGTACCATTGAAAATGAGTTGCTAAACACAACTCTGTATTGTATTATATACCAGTACAGGGGCGGATCTAGCTTTCAGGAAATGGGGGGGGGGTTATCAGGTATGCAACTGGGAATTTAGAAGGAAAAAAAACGAGGAAATTCCAACCACACAAGACTTTGGGCAGTGATTTGCAATTTGTTATGGCATACATGAGAAGTAAAAAATTATGAAATTGGGAGATCCGAGGAAAAGTTGTATGCCTGACTAATGGGGGGGGGGGGGGGAGAGGTTGAGTGAAGGCGTGCCAAAATTCGTTAGGGAGAAGATAAAAAATAATTTAAGAGCACGAGGCATGCATCTCTAATGACCCCATCAAATTTTTGTTGTATACAAATTCTTCAAATACAGGTGTAATCTTTGGAATTGCAAAAAAAGTCCATAACTGAAAAAAATAACACACAGCACACTTCCTTCTGTTCAATAAAAGAAACTACATGACATACCCTAGTGTACAGTGTTAAATTGTATTCGCATAATAATGAACGCACATGTACATACACTTTTAAACATAACTATCAGAACAGGCAAAAAAACTACACAACAATATAGCTGGGTTTATAGAGCACATAAAGTTACACGTTACAATGCACATGCATCTTCAGTTATTCATGACAAACATCTTATTACATTTGATGTCAGAGGTGTCGTATGTACATTTGATTCTGAAATCACAGTTTGCACAGTATGGAATTAAAGGTCAAATAGGTGTTCACGGTTCAACCAGAAAACTTCCCAGTTTCTGGAAAAAAAGAGCAAAATTTGCTTATTAAAAATAAACTTGGAAATTATATGCATGTAAAGCTGTATGTTCAGAACCCGAAATGCAATTTCAATGAAAGTAAAAGGCAACGCTACAGAACTTGTCTAAAACAGATTAAATCAATCAAGATTTTTCCATGCAAGAAATTGGCGACGACAATTTTGGCTATCAAATTAATTGTTACTTGACTCATATAAGGGGCTAAGATTCAATTTTTACAGATGAAAGTTAGCCAGCATTCAAATTATCATAAATATTGCAATTTTTGGGAGACAAATTTTTACAAGCAGAATTTGTCTAATAGAAAACAACAGAATGATTTGAGGCGACAACATAAAATGTCTCTTGACAAAAACAGATCAAAAGCAGATGTCTGTTTTACTTGATACACCCAGATAGGAACAACTTTATTAGGGTAAAACTCATTTTTCTTAATTCTGCTATCTTATTTTGTGAAATAATTGTACCCCGATTTCTAACAAAAATTTGTCATTTTACAACAAATTTTAAAGTATTTTTACAAGCTTTACTGTTTTGGGGAGCCATTTGTAGAGAGACGTGACATTTTACAGAAGGTTTTTGTGAAATTTACAACAACAAAAAAGACATTAAAAAACAGAAAAATTAGATTCTTTCCAGAATGATCACAAATAGATTCAAAACAATTCGAGCTGCTGGTGGTATTTTTTTCTCAAAATTAACAATCTGTAATAAGACACCCACATGTAAAGGAAAACAAACATTGCAGAAAAAGTCCACAATCTTCATTGCAAACATGCAAAGGAAAATTAGTTCCAAAATATTTTTGCTGTATTGAGAAATGAACTTTTTGCAACGGTTGCGCAACATTGTGAAAAGTAAATTGTGCAACACTGTGAATTATACACTGTGCAACGATGTGCAACACAGTGCAACGTTGTGCAACGCTGTGCAACACAGTGCAACCCTGTGCAACACTCACAATGTTCATGCGGGTGCAACGCCCTTGATTTCTCACTGAATGTGAAGGTCTATAAAAGGTTCAGTGTCCACAAACTCAAAGAAACAGTTATCATGACAGTTATCATGAAAATATGGTTCAAAACCAACTTAATACTTACAAATTGTTTACTTAACAGGTAAATTTCATTTCTGTTTTTGTTAACATATATTAGTGTCACAAAATTTAAAAAAAATATTTACAATTACGTTTTCTCTTTTAGTTTTCTTTTCATAAGGCTACTGCCAGAAACAGTTAACATAGAGAGTAGACAAAAACCCTATTCTTTGCACTCGTAACCAATCATCGTGACTTTGGGTATGGGTTTAAGTGCCCCTATGACAAGGACAATCACTGCATCTGAGTAACTTGCCTATGGCCGCAGGCAATCGCTAGCCAAGTACTGCAGGAATGGTCAGTGACAGAACGGGGAGTCAGTCAGCATGTGTTGGTGGAGCACTGGTACTGCATCTGAGAGCTTGCAGGTTCGAATCCCCATGCCTCTATATTCCTTGATCAACTGACAATTGATTTGAAGCGTACCTTGGTCGAGGAACCTGATTTCATGTTATACTCTCTGTTTTCGTTTCATGCTTTTTGGAAATTTATAGCGAACGGAGTAAATTCTGTACTTCACTGTGCTGAAACCGTTCCTGTGGCATCCAGTTCACAAAATGCATGAATCTAGCTTCCACGCACACAAGACAAGTCCTATGTGCACGATTGCTTCAACATAAATTTTCATTTTCTTTCCCGAATATTCAGAATGAGTGGTTATGTGACTGGCTTGAAAACACACCCTGACACAGCTATGCAAGAAATGAACAAGTTATTTGTAAACGACTCCGACTTAAGCCTGAATCCCTTTGCAAATGTTACGCCCCAACTACAGCAACGGCCCCAACTATAGTTGGGCCAGTCCAAACTATAATTAGGACAGATTTTCAGCGTAACTTTTTGTCCAATTACTCAGGTTTGTACCCTGTGACCCATGAATCAAAAGTCAAAGAACTGACTGCTCAGTCTGGTTCTTTGCCCAGTGATTTAGTCAAGTCCAGTCACAAGTCCAGTCACAAGTCCAGTCACAAGTCCAGTCACAAGTCCAGTCACGAGTCCAGTCACAAGTCCAGTCACAAGTTCAGTCTCAAGCAACCCGGGATGAACAATAACAAACGAATGCCTCTGTCAAAGTTCATTTGTATAGCTTGTGACATGAATTGGGACTGGAGGACTTGCGATGGACTTGAGATGACTTGGAAGGGAGTTGTGATCGACTTGCTTAATAAACAACGCTATCTTCAGGTTGATTTTTACTTTAAGTTGTTGGACTTTGGGTAAAAGGGATCCGACACTTAGCTGCACTACAAAAGCGGATCAATTTACGACAATACAGAAAGCAGACAGAATGGAAGACAAATATATATATATATGTCAATATCAATTTGTTTCTTTCTTTAATTTGTCAGCCACGTAACACCTTCTTTAACAACTTCCGAACGTTTATCCTGAGTGATGCGCAAGCGGAGAAAAGCTCTCATTTTCAATTTTTTTTTCTTTTCTTTAGAAAACATCGAAGTATTTCAGATACTTGACAGGAAATTCTGGGTAGCAAAAGGCCTTCAATGGTAAATATTTGTTAATGTTTTAATTCCTGTTTTAATCAAAATGATAACTGTATCCATTAATAAGGAAATACTTTTCCCAAAATCTATCATTTACTAAATTCTACCTTACCTGACTGAATACTCACTATTCATTAAAAAAAAAAACCAAAAAAAAAAACACTGTCAGTCTTACAGAGCAAGAAAAAATTATGTACATTTAATATACAAAATACAGACATAGCTTTCTTATAATTTGTGTCCATTCGGGTAATGCTGTTACTGTTATCATCATCATCACATTGAATCCCGGTATAAATATATTACATGTTAAATCTTTCCAATCTGGCTGTATCGCCCTTTGGCACCAAAAAAAAAAAAAAAAATCAGAATCAAAAGTTAGAATAAATACAGACTGTGCAACACCTGCACAAACATGGGCGTCGCCAGGATTGGGCAAGGGGGGGGGGGGCACCATAATAATAAAACAAGAGGTGTGAAGTCATATTTGTTATTTATTTAATACACATTTAACAAAATTGGCGTCTGCAGGGGTGTCAATGGGGGTGGGGGAGGTAAATGTCCCCCGCCCACCCTCAAAAAGATGATAAAGTGAGAATATGCTGGAGAAAGCACAAGAATTTTGGGGGAAAATGTGCCTGCTGCCCCCCCCCCCGAAAAATCCTGGCGACGCCAATGTGCACAAAGAACAAACAATCAAATTAGGTTTTGCCCTATTTTGTTTATAAGAACAAACAAGTTAATTAAACATGTGTGACCTCTTTTTAAAATTTTTTTACATCTACGTAGGTATATGACACAAAAAAAGTGAAATTTTGGGCATGGGGCAAAAACTTGGGGAGAAAGGCAAAAAGGTGAAAGAAAGCTTGGCTATGTCTGAATGCAAACATGGCTTCAGTTTTTAACACTGACAGTCTACTGTCAGGTTGGTGTAGTGGTTCAGGCCATAGTGCAGAACAATTTTTTATTTTTTTTATTTGTTTTTCAGATTTACTCACATTTGTAATCTTTGATATGTCTATTACACATTTGTTAAAGTTGTAGTATATTAAAAATATGTGAAATTAAAGGTTTTTTAAGAGAAAAAAGACATCTTTAATTTTCAAGAATACAAAACTTGAAACTTTAATGGCCTTTTTCTCAGTATTTTCCTTTTTTGATATGTCGATCAAAACGAACTTTTAACAGCCATTACTTGTCAACAGAATGTCCGATTGAAGTGCAACAAAAAGTATTGCAAGGAGAATTTTATTCTCTTTTCTAATACCCGCAAACCCTCATTTCAACCTCTGCCCAGTTCAGTCTCATTTTCTCAGAACGTCTCACATTACACATTTTTCCTCTAAAGCCTCTGTTACAAGAGACAGGCAAAAAAAATTGCAAAAACTCATTGGTTTACAGCATTATCACTCTCGTACATTCAAAATCTACCATTTTACCAATTAACATGTCACAGATCGAGCAAAAAAGGAGACCTAGAAAAAAAGGTCTTGGTCAATATACATGTATTTACATCTTTTTTTTTAAAGATCCTTTTTACATTCTCTGTCTAACTTGATCAATGTCTGTAAATGTGCGGCAAGTGTGCTCTGTTTAAACAGCAAGATATTTCGTACCCAAAAAGTCTGCATCTGAAAGTTTAACTTTTTCTCCCTTAATATGGAGAGTCAGATATTGTCACCGAAAAACAATATCTCCTGGCAAATTTATGTGCTATGGAAAGATGAGCTGAGAACCCAATCAGAAGCAATGTACATTGAATTAAACTTGCATTAGATACAGCCGTTTTAGACTTGAGACTCAACATACACTGTTAGAGAACACGCTAACCCTAACCCTGCCAGACGCAACACAGTGCATCAGGTGGAAAAGAACCGGTGCACTTTGATGCATTCAGCTGCCAACACCAGTGCATGAATGGCCAGCTCTGAAACAATGAGAGCTAAGTCCCATTGAACAATGCCGCAGTTGTATCCTGCTGCTTGCAGTGACCACGGACGAGGCAGTGTGGCCTTGAGATTTTTCCCCTGGTGGATCTTGCTACATTTGGCAGGCTTGTCACTTAGTCAAGTCTTGCATGGTGTTACGTTCTAGCAAACATACCCTGGAGGGTTAGGGTTAAGGGAGCATTTTTGTTTGACGAGAGAGTTGCCATTTCTTACTTGTCCCCACCGCTAGCGTCGGTTTTCTTGCTGACGGCTTCCGCAGCTTGTTGGGGTACCTCTGTTGGGTTGGTCAGGATGGACGTGGTGCGACCAAGTAACGTCAGGGAAGACAAGACAGCTACAAGAACAAACAAAAAAATTCCATAGTTTGGAAAATCCAATACCACAAAACATTGCCTCTCTCTGGCCTGAATAGGTATTTTTTGCTGTTCCCACAGTGCTTCCACTTTCACGGAAATTCTTGCATTTTATTGTTTACTTTCAAAAGAATTTCTTAGGAAATTTTGTGGAAATCCCCCAAATCTAATTGTTCATTTAATACCGTTCCAAGCTCTTGGAATCGACAATAACAGCACAGCTACCTATCTCCTTGCATCCTGGTTGCCTGAAATCATTGCCTGGCTGCTCTTGCTTCAACTTGAAGGCAATTGAGGTGAATACACAATTCGGCCCGTTGGCTCATATCACCTCAATGGCCTTCAAGTTGAAGGAAGAGCAGCGTAGAACGTCCATGTAAGACTGGGGGCGAACAGGGCCCAATTTCATAGCGCTGCTTAACAGATGACTGTGTGCTTACCGATCCTCCATCTATTTCATAGCGACCGTTAAGCAGTAAGCACAGCAAAAGCACGCTTAACCCCAGAAGAAACCTTTGTAACAATATAAATCTCCATGCGCGCGCAACCATTAGCATGAAATAGTGCTTAAGCAGCAGCATGATTTTCTGCTATAGTAAGCACAACTTTTTCTGCTTACTGTTAAGCAGTGCTATGAAATTGGGCCCAGGTCAAGATGTAAATTCAACTATGAGACTGGTGTATGGGCATCCGCTATCCAGTCTTTATATGGCGGTCAGTGGCCCTCATTCACTGAAAATACCCCCACAGCTGAGTCTAATATCACGGTAAAAAATTCCCAAGAGCTTTTGATGATTGGCCACAGGGCGCCCTCTAGAGTCGATGGATTGACGGGGTACTTACTGGGTCTGAGGGCAAGCAGGGAGCAGTGTTGTTCCAGCCAGGTGAGGACCGTTCTGCACAGCTCCTCGCTGTTGGTGGTCGACACCGACGTGTTGTAGGACTCAAACAGGGGCCGGATTATCATGCTGAACTGTTGTTGGCAATGAGTCAAGGACAAATACACTAGAAATAATTAATCTGCATGGCAAAAGATATATTATTATAAGAGATATATATTAAAAGATATATAGATATATTCTTTGAAACAATTCATCCACAGATTTTGTCCCTTTATTGGTAAAGAGTGTATCACATAGTATTCACTTTGTTTTAAAACTATACAGGGTGGATCAACAAAAAAACGAAACCGAGATATTATTACAGAAGTAGGGCACATGTGAATCAAAGAGAGATATCCTCTTTAGGGTTGAATCGCCTCTTTAAAATGACACCCTGATCATGTTGTTACATTCACGGTTGACTGAGCAGTGACCAATTTTATGAAATGGTCTATGTAGAGACTTGCGCCACTATTCATGGTGAAATCTCTTTCCCCCCACCTGCCTTGATTGGCAACCATAGCCTTTCACTCTGTGATAAATGACACCACAAAAACCACAACTGAAAAGTGGCGCAATTCTCTGAATAGACCCTTCCATAAAATTGTTCACTGCTCAGTCAACCGTGGATGTAATGATATGACCAGGGTGTAATTTTAAATAGATTCAAGCCTAACAGAGGATATTTCGCTTTGATTCATATGTGGCCTACTTCTGTTCCAATTAGCAATAATATCTCAGTTTCGTTTTTTGTTATCCAACCTGTATATCTTCCACTCCCTAAAAACAAAACCGTCACCAACCGCAGTATTACCCATAGCAAGCGAAGGCTAGTTTACATGTTTTTCAGTGGCTCGTGCATTTTTTGGATTCATGAATCATGCGAAAGAGTTCAATAGTGCACATTTTATTTTTGTCAGAATAGGTTTGCGATAGTGCAAGTAGCTTTAATGCTTAAATAGAAAGAAGTATATTTGTTCTGGTTTGGTCTTTTTAAATCAGAAATTTGGTTTTGGTTTTGCAGTTAATACATTTTCAAACCAATAAATCTCCATTTTTTTGGACGTCTTCAACCCTCTGAAAAAGAAGTATTTTGTTTTGGGTACAAACAGATTTGCTTTGCGTGAGCAGACTGGCTCCCGAGGCGTACATTACAGACATTGATTGTGGGGCGGGAACCAGCCCACCCCACGAGAACAGAATTATTGTCTGGCAGCCAAAAATCTAAAATTGTAAATAATAAGTACATAAGGCCAAAAAAAAAAAAAAGTCTCCGGTTTCTGGTATGGAGCTTGCCCAAAAAGTGGTGCGGCGACGCGGCATTGTTTTTTTTTTTACCTGATTGTTTTTTGCTTCAAATGTCGGCTAATGACTGCAAATGGTGCCCGACTAAACTTAGTACAAATATTATGGGAGACCAGAGAGGCCACATAAAGCTTATTCTCGATCATAACCCCATCTAAAAACACGTTAAAATTGTGCAGCAGCAGGATTCCAGTCAAACCAGTGAGTTTGGTGGTTTTGAGACATCATCTTTCATTGAAAAAAAACTTTTTCATTTTGCCGACGCACATGGCTACGGCGAAGCGCGCATACCAGAAACCGGAGACTTTTTTTTTTGGCCTAACTAAACATGGGCTGATTTTATGGGTCAATGTCTCATTTAAAAGTAAATAACTTTGGTATTGCTTCAAAAATAAGAAAAAGAATCTACTTTTCGGATGAAACTAGAAAATAGCAGGGGGAATGTACATTGAACCGTGCAAACTGAACAGGATGTTGTGACATTTGTATTATGTCCAACAAAAATGGAAACATTTTATGCAAAATATAACAAATAAGGTGTTTTCAAAGGATACAATCCAAAACTTCCAATTGTGCCCCGTCCGTTCTCTGACGTAGTCGTCAAATATGTCCCTCATGTGATCAAATCGTTGTCTTGACAACGGAACACCGCTGGCTGGAAGTTGGTTTTGGCTTTCGCTGAAATGAAAATGTTGAAAAAAAAACAAGGTTGAGAAATCTTCAAATTCACTTCTTTTTTTTTTACACAATTTCTCATTAGCAGTAGGAACTAACAGCCTCTGCACTGTTTTGCATTTACATTGTTAGGCAGAGTAATAAAAAAAAACCTAAGTTGTTTCGCATTCTGGTACTTTCCAGAAACATTCTCTTAGTTGAGAAATTATTTGCACATGGTGTTTCCACAAACCTTCCATTATTTAGTATCTCCACCATGCAAAGCCTCAAATCTTACTTACATAGCTATAATTTGTAGGAAACAAATATAAAGATAATATATTGCATATGTATGAAAAAAAAAGTATAAAAAAAAAGGAGGTGGCCAGGAAAACAGGAAGTGGGCAGGGACAACTTTTTTTTACATGGCCTTATGTTATTAGTACTTGGGTGTCAATTCATGAAAACCACCGAGTGTCAGTTCGTAGTGTCAGTGACGTATTATTTAGATAATATATTGCATATGTATGAAAAAAAAAGTATAAAAAAAAAGGAGGTGGCCAGGAAAACAGGAAGTGGGCGGGGACAACTTTTTTTACATGGCCTTATGTTATTAGTACTTGGGTGTCAATTCATGAAAACCAAAATTACGCAGTTCTGTAATGGACGCGTCTGTGCCGTGCGTGCTGGGCACCCACGCACCACCGAGTGTCAGTTCGTAGTGTCAGTGACGTATTATTTAGCTTACTTGATTGATGCCTTCAGACCGTTGACTTCCTGCTGCAGTAAATCCATCTCACCCTTGACTTTGGCTCGCTCGGCCTGAACCTTCTTGGTGTACTCGACAGCTGCAAGATGACCAAATATTCCAAGAGTCATGACAAATTGAATACAAATACGCTACTCAAGCTCAACTTCAAACTGCACACTTCTGGGAATAGTGTGCAGACAAATCCTGATCACTGTTACACTCGTAAGGCCTCCTTCAACGAAGAAACCAATGCGCATGCTATTGTACAACGCAACTGCCCCGTGACTGATTTCTGAAAAACTAGCACAATGCTATCGCCACTGAAGGGGGGGGGGGTCTTTGTGATGGAAGTGGTAGCACCTCAGCACTGCTCCAGGATGTCACTGGCTCTGCCTCAACAAATTGACAGTGATTGCTGGAGGATTTTGCAGGGTTGAGGCAGTGATCAACCCTCCGAGGACCACATTCAAAAAACGATTTTGGAGGATTTGAGGTTGTGTTTAATTTTTACATGGAGGCAGTTGGAGGATTTTGCAGGATTGAGGTCGCATCCCAGCCAAAATGCCTAGGGAGTTAGTGTTAAACAGAATATGTATAACCTGATAGTTTCACTGCAGGACGGGTGTGTATCTCAGAGGAAGGGGGGGGGGGTTCACAACAGCAATGATACTGAAGAGTATGTAGGCACTAAAAGTGTATGCATTCTAGGCACTTGGGCCATAATCACACACAGTGTGACTATTGTTACCTCTTCGGGAAAATGATCCAATTACATCGTGCAGGATAATAAATCATACATGTACATGTAGTTCATGCAAGGAAGAAAAGATTGTTCACGTTATGAATAGAGATCCTACAATCCATTCCAACGTACCTTTCTGTAGCATGGCTGCCTTGCTGATTTTAGCGTTGGGGTTTTGGCTCAGCGACGGTACGAGCTTGTGTAACGTGTCAAAACCAGACTGAAACGGTGAAAAGCATCGTTATTAATATTGGAATGTGCCTCCTGTGGAACTTATGATGCCAAAAAAATACATGGGAAATGCTGTGTTGGTTTTCTTAGAAATTGTCAACCAAGACCATCAATTTTATTTTTGGACAAGATTTTGGCTAGAGAAAAAGCCAGATACAACCAGATACAACCAGATACAACCGGATACAACCGGATATAACCAGATACAAGTGAAGCCAGATTGAAGCCACATACAACTTTCTGTTTAATAAAGTGGAACTTTACCAACTGAGGGGAAAGTCTGTTGTCTGACTTTAGTCAATGACCAATTGGGAGACTGCCAATGTAGGACAAGATAGCTTTGTTGGTTGTGCACCGGAACAGTATTAAAGTGGTCAAAGGTTCAACTCCGGCTTTGGTAAAATTTTCTTTTCTCAAATAAAACACAGATTTAGAGTGACGCAGTCAGTGTGCCTTGCAGTTTTTTTTGGTTGACAATTTGACATACCTTGATGTTGACTCTTCTTTTCTGTTCAGCAGAAATGTGGGTGTCTTTCTTCATAGGCTGTGAACATACACAAGGGAAAAAACAATAATTTAGAAAAAAAGGAAAGATGCAGAACAGAACATTTGCAGTGCATCGGCAATGATTTCAAATGTCCCCCCCCCCCCAACTCTCCCTTTATGGAATACCGAAGTGTGACGTCATTTAGAACCAGAACATGTAGTACAAATGAATGGAGTACGCGCGTGTTGGTTCATTAGCTGAATCAAGCGCTTATGTCTTTTACACACATTTTGTGCGCATGACGTATTCACTTCGGCACTCCATAACCGTTGAGAGGTACACGTGCACGGAGTCTATAGCAATGTTGCTCTGTATATCTTGGCCAATAACGTTGCCAAACAGCCTGAATATGTAACACTCTACTACAATTACACGATATACACAGCTGTGATTTTTTAAAGTTTGTTTTTGGTGTCATGAGTGTATGGTAAATAACCTTTAGAGAGTAACAGTGGAGAAGTTCAGTTCAATATAAAGTACTGAAAAAATAATAATCAAATAGAGAAAACAAACATAACAACTTACATCAGAACAAGATGCTGAGGATCCAAGGGAGAAAACTGGGGAATCAGGCGCCGAAACAAAGGAACCTAAAAAAGAACAATTTAAATCAGTTGTTTCAAATATTTTATATTGGAACAGTGAGTTCCATGCAAAACAGCACGAACTATTGGCACACATTGGTTGAGAGTCTGTACTGTGAAAGAGTCTGTTTTGCTTTTGAATTTGGCAAAGAGCCAAGCGAGTGCGATGTGCAGTAAACTCGCCTGGTAGGTTTGGACTAGATTTCAAAAATACCGTATAGTGACAATATTTGTTTTGATACTGAACAATACTGAGTGGTGTTGACAAAATATTGCAGACCTAGGTATGGAATTTCATTGCCATAATTTTGTCTTAAATGTGGCCGGATGTGTGCAAAAGCCCTTTAACCCTAACCTCCCCAACTCCATCAAAATCCATCCCTCCATTTTGGTGGGTTTTGGGGGACTTGGTACTGCAGGCCTGGTTTGACTACATATTGACAGAGTATGATGGACTTGGGCCTGGAGGCCTAAAGCAAAGCATGCATTGGAAGCAGTCTGATTGATGGATTTTGGCAGACTTGGTCCAGTACTTAGTAAAAGACAGTAGGGAGTGAGGGTTAATAGAAGGTGACAGAAACAACTTGGCAAGATCTGCACTACAATGTACATGTACATGGATAATTAATTAATTTTCTTGTGGTCAGGGTATCTATATAAGGTGAAAACTGTGCTTACTACTCAACAAGCCAGGCATTTATAGTACTGCCCATGCCTGTTTGCGGTATCCTAACAATACATTGTATTTTGTTAAACATAATGGTCACCCCAGAAAAGTACCCTATAATACCGAATACTGCCATATTTTCGTTGCGGTATACCATGGACTCTCAAAATCCAAAACCGTACAAGCCTATCAAAAGTGAGGGAAAGAGATTGGTTGAGGGTTGGGCTGGGATGGACTTGAATTTGGAGGGGGGGGGGGAGGAAGGAAGAATTTGAAATGCTTTAAACTCACTTGGGCCAGCACCGTCCGACGTCTCCCTGTTGGAGAAGATGGCACTGAATGATGGCGTCGTTGACGTGGTGGCGGTGGGAAGTGACGTAGACTGGGGGGCAAATATGCTAGCCGTGATGTCGGACATCTGCAAATTGATCAGAAAATGAAATTAATGAAATGTCTCGTCCTGATATGTACCTCCTCAATCAGTGACAAGAGTGAGTTGGGAAGACTCAGTCACATTATTGCTGTACACCGGGCACTCTTGTACGGACGAAGGCAGCTTTATGTACAATCAGACTGTAAACTCTCTCATGCCAACATCCGGACACAAAGGTCATTTCCCGGGCTCAATTTCATGGCGTTACTTAACAGTTGGCAGAAAAGTTATGCTTACTAAAGAAAGCACAGTTGGGGGTGACCGACCGACGCCATCTTGCCTGACTGCAATTTTGTTGCGACGCGCACGGCGGCCGTACCATGTACCACTGTGTGTACATAGTACAAATCCCCTGGTGTAAGTGCGTCACACAAGGAACGTCGTTGCTTGGTAAAAGGGCGCCCTCTTTGTTAGCGCACGGAGCCCATATTGCACAAACTGGGGGATTTTGATGGATTCAGGATTGTAAGCTTAGCGGAATTGCAGGATTTTGATGGATTCAGGATACCTCTATATTGGACAGTTGGGGGACTTTGGCGGATTCAGGATATCAACAGATTTACTCTCCGCTAACTGGTGGATTCTGATGGACTCACTGGCAACCAACATTTTTTTGCATGGCAAAATTGATGGATTTTGGCGGATTCAGGATACTTTCTAATAAAAGAGCCCAAGGGGTAAGGGTTAAATATCTATTGGCTCTCCGTTCTTACCGTGCACTGTTGTGATGTGTTGTCGGGAAACTCGGTTTTCACTGGGTGGAACATGACTGCGCTACTGGTCGACGCTGCAGACAGTATATCAGTGGTAGTCTGGGGCCGGATGCTACCTGTATTGGAAGACACTGACATAAACAACAGCAATGCTGTCTATAACATCCAATAATAAAGGACAAGCTTTGAGAAATTGATTGGAGCAAGGATTGAGAAATTGATGGTGCTTTACTTGTGATCATTATTGGTAGCACCGTGAAATGACACATCGTGGATGATTTACACACCACAACATACTGTGTGCACAAAATCCACACATGATCCATCACTGGATGGTGCTGCAGTCTCGTTGTATTGGTCACTTCATGGCGCAGCCGGCAGTTTGAAGTACCATTTGACCAAGTCAAAGTTTTTTGAACAAAGAAATTGATTGGAGGAAGGATTGAACCTGGGACCTCCGGATTACTGTTCCAGTGCTCTACCAACTGAGCTATCCAGCCCAATGTTGGCGGTTCTCCCACATATTGCTGGATAACTCAGTTGGTAGAGTACCGGAACGGTCACTCGTTGCACTTTGTTGAATTGAGTAAGGTGAGCGTGGTTCTATCTTTTTTACTCCAAGAATATTGTGTGTTGAGGGAATAAGTACCTTGTGTCAGCAGCTGGGTAAGTAGTGCAGCATTACCGGTGAGCCCGCCAGTGATGCTGGAGCTGGAGGGAGCAGGAGGAGCAGGCGCTATCTTCGCCGGCTGCTTGGGCCGTATCACTTGAGTCTTAGGCTTGGCTCCCATCTGGGAGATCTTCATCGAAGAGCTGGGGCTTGTCCTGGATGCACCTGCCTTCTTGGTTGCAGGGGCCGAGTCCTGGTGATCACTGGCCCTGGACAGGCTGATGGGTACCGGCTGCTGAGATATCGCAGGCTGTAGCTTGATCGGCTGCGGCTGCACTGGCTGCTGTATGATGGTGTTGGAGGTGAGTACGTTTTGTCTAAACACCTGCGTGGCTACGGGTTTGCTGTTAGAGATGGCCGTGATCTGGCTGATGCTCTGCTGCTGCTGTTGCTGCTGTTGCTGCTGCAGCAGCGACTGGGTCTGGTTGGGCACCTGCGTAGCAACGGCCTGCAGCAGCTTGAAGGCAGCCTGAGTGTCTTCCACAGATAGAGGGTTGGACCCCAGCTGCAACTGCTGCTGGCTCTGGGCATTAGCCAACAGGTTCTGAATAGTTGTTAGGTTCTGCTGCTGCTGTTGCTGCTGTTGTTGCTGCTGCTGCTGCTGCTGTTGCTGCTGCTGAGCAAGCTGATCCACTGAGATGAAGTTCATCCCTGACAAAAGCTGTTGTTGCTGTGTCAACTGGTTGATAGTTATGTTACTACTGTTTGATTGCTCCTGAACGGTGGTTGTTTGTCCCACTCCAGCCACCGATGCTTGGAGTTGGTCAGCTGGCTGCACGCCAACCTGCAATGTAACCACCTGCTGCAAGTCTGTGTTCACTGGCACCTGCTGCTGCTGTTGCTGCTGTTGAAGCTGTTGACGTTGTAACGAAGAGGCAGCGGCAATGATATTGTTTAGTGTCACAGTGTTGTTATCAGCCTGTTGCAGCAGCGGAAAGCTGATGGCACTCCCGCTCTGAATCTGCTGCTGTATGGTCTCCTGCTGTTGCAGTTGCTGCTGCATTTGCTGCTGCTGCATTTGCTGCTGCAGTGACTCCTGCTGCTGCTGCTGTATTTGCAGCTGCAAGGACTCTTGTTGCTGCTGTTGCTGCTGCTGTTGAATTTGCAGCTGTAAGGACTCCTGCTGTTGTTGCAGTGACTGTTGCTGCATCTGCTGCTGTATCGTCTCGGGCTGCGACAGCAGTGACTGCGGCAGGCTGTTTTGCCGGTGCAATTGCACCGACAAAACTTCCTGTTGCTGGTTGGCCTGTACGTTGACCGATGCATGACCAAGTTGGTTGATAGTGTCCTCATATGTGTCGGCGACAGGTAGGAGCTGCTGCTCCTGTTGCTGCTGTTGTTGCTGTTGTTGTTGCTGCTGTTGTTGCTGCTGCAACAAGGCAGATGCATCTGTAATCTCTGAAGCTTCAACTTCTTGTACCAACAATGCCTAAACAACAAAACAACAACAATGGAATATCCACCACTTAAAACCCTTCCTAACATAACCAATCCCTGAAGCAAACTTTGGCACGGTAAGTTTTAATCAAAGTTATGTACCAGATGCAGCAGACACTAAACGAGTGCTTCTTAATTCAATTCACAATGGCCTTTTTAACCCTAGCTCTATTACCTGTTTCAAAACACTTTTTTATGCCTTGCTGTGCGACATTACCTGTGCCTGTTGTTGCAGTCGATTGCCGGAGAAGACAAACGTTCCTTGGGGTAGGGAGCCATTATTGGTATTGGCTGGCCTGATGTTAGCATCTGTTTGCAGAAAACAAAGGGAAAGATGGATATTAGTCCCCACAACTATGTAACAAGTATGTGTGTACTACATGTTGCACATCAGGGCCCACAAACTTGCTTGGCACAAAAATAGTCTGGTTTATAAAAGCAGGTTACCAGCCAAAACTCCACGTGACGTATATTGCTCGTGATTAGTATTCAGCTGTTGTTTGCTTAGCATGAAAATCACATGGGGTTTTGCCTGGTAACCTGCTTTTATAAGGCAGACTTTTTTGGTGCTAAGCAAATTTTTGTGCTCAGCAGCTCCATCAAATTGGGCCCTGGCAGCTACTTCTGCTTCAATGACGCACTGGAACAGGGACCAATTAAAGAAGCACATTGGGCTCATAAATATGTATGAGATATAACAATCTGAATATTTACAGAGTTTTCTTACCTGGCAAAGTGTCCAATGTTTCTGAGAAGTTGGGCTGCAGCTGGATCAAGCCTGGCTGGATAATGTCTGGATTGACGCCGACGTGAACTTGTAACCAAAAGAAAATACAAAATTCGCAGTTATGATTTTTTCTCCAGTTTGATAAAGAGTTCAGATATTCGATATATCGATAATCCCATGTTAAAACTTAAAGGCCGTAAAGATGACACTTTGATTAAATAAAAAACAATGAAAAAAAATGTTCAATCCCAATTTTCCACAGCTTTCTCTGGAGCAAATTGCTCAAACTTTTTAAACGAATCTCAGCAATGAAAGTTTGCTCGGAACGGGCGTTTCTTTTTCTTTTTCTGTAGTTTTACATTGGGGAAAACCACAAATTCCAGCGAATGCAGAGCACAAAGCGAAGCGGCTTTGCATTTGGCGATATTTTTATTTTGAGTCACAAGCACAAGTTGCCGCTGAGTTTTATTTCATTATACAGGAAATGATAAACACAGAGTATAAAGCACAAACAGAAAATTTATTTTGACGATAATCAGATGCATTTTTGATATGATTCCTGAATATCGAAAATTTTGATATTTCGATATGATTAAAAAATTGCTATCAGCGATATCGATATCAAAATAATATCGAGTAATCAAGTCATATCGACAGTGTTAATAAGCAGTTCTATGAAGTTGTGGCTCAGATACTTACAGAGTTCCCGGGGTAAGGGGAAAGGGAACGGGTTCTGGCTGAGACTGGAGAAGAGAGTGTCGTTGAACTCGGAGAGTAAGGCCTCCTCGTCCAGGATCATGGGCTGGGGAGACGGGGACTGGCTCAGGCCAAAGTCCTGTACTACTCTGTCCAAGACTGACCCTGTCTCGTCGTGATACTGTAAGAGGGAAACAATTTTTGGTACTGGTCACCATTGTGTGAATACAAACGGGGTCAAAGAAAGATGATTGTTTCCTATAGGGGTCAGTTGTAAGAGTGGTTTTCGGCCACCACTGTGTGGCTTTTGCTGGACACGAAGGGCCAGCCTGACTGACTGACTGAGTTGAACTAATGTCCTCAACTGACATCACTGTGGCTTTTGGGTCCCCTTCAGTGGGTCTATGAGTGTTTTCATTAACCCTAACTCCCTATCATAATTTACTAGGAACCATACCCATTCTAGCAAATTCCAACACCCACATGGGAAATCGTACACACACACACACACAGTTGGACTTAGTTTCTGGAGGTACATGTATGCCAAACCCAGTGTAAAAGACCATCAGTTAAGGGGTTCCTTACCTATCCCAACAGATTTCAACAAAACCTTCTGTTGGGCTTTGATGGGTTGAGTTCGGTTAGGGTTAAAATTGAATGTTCAGTATAATGGTGTTCATTGTAGTGACAGTCTGCTATATATTGTGGTCTTGGACACTCTGCTTTCATTTATCTACAACTGTCATGAGTCAAGTGTCAAAGAACGATGGCTGGCACCTTGCAAAGTGTACTTCATTTTGTTTGCATTATGATTTCTACCATAAGGCTTGCCAAACCTTGTGAACAATTTAAAAAGTTCACAATTGTATTATTTTTTACAAATCTAAGGATATCTAAAGAATTATGAAGTCCCATTATTAAAATCCAAGACATACCAAAATTAAGATGTTTCCTGCACTTTCTTGGGTTTTCTTGAGAGTCATGCCTGTTTAGAGTCTTAAAGTTTTGAGACAGATCAATTCTATTTTGCTGAATGGGTTCCAAACAACAAAGAAATCTTGGCTCCCTTTGTAATCAATCTCAATCAAAGTTTGGTCTTTCCCTTCTCTAAAATTAGGTAGACAAACTAAGTGCCGGTGGATAATTTGTTTAAAAAACCTCAATTTGCAAGGGAAGCCCATTTCGTAAACTATCTAGAGAACTGGATTACCTCCGATCTGCCATCGTGTGAAGCAGAATGCAACTTGCGATAGAAGATCCTCCACTTCTGGTATTCCCGGATCACTGTGCTGAGAGTTCGCTTCCAATACTTGCCTTCAAGCACCACAGCCTAATTAATAGGAGAGACCAACCAAAAAACCACCAAGATTAACAACAAAAGTCTACTTCAAAATCTACTTCCAAGGTTTATGATTGTGGTTGCCGCTGCTCAACCAGTTAATACCAGAGAACTAGTAAACAAGATCTGACATTGTATATTTGCAGAGGCGGGTGACGGATTAAATCGTCAAGCTTTCATCCGAGTCTCCGGTACGTCCCTGGTTCCCACTGGTTTTGTACACACTGTGTTTTGAACTTGAACTTGGCTGTTAACAGGCCTGTCGTCGTAGCCAATATTGCTCTGTGGCAGGCCTCGGAGTATTGCAAAAAATGAAGTTTCGTTGAGAAGTATCGTTCAAATGTTGTACAAATGACTCTTCAGAGTCACTATTTGTAGCGTTTGACGGATAATTGTACAATTTGGCTGATTATATAATTCTTGTCTTTTTCAAAAAGATGCTTTTTAGCCAAAAATATTCCCAGCGGCAAGTGGTTAATTGGATTCAAACTGGCTAGTTCCCCCTGGACAGCTCCGTTGCACGACAGCTGCATTTTTGGTTGTGAGCTTGAGTCATAAGTGACAAAGATTGTTAACTATTCATACACTGTCTTGGAAAAGCACTAAGCATGAAATGATGAAACAGGAACTCTTTGTTTCCGTTTATTAATTCATCATGCTTTGCATCTCTTTCAGCCTAACGCCCTAAGCAATTTTACTCCAATATGCTACGTGTACTGTACAAGAATCCTGGCGCGTTCTCTGCAATTTTTTGTATTTTTCACAGACAAGGGATATCAAGTCCCATCTGCCATCTTGGGGGCAAAAAGCAAAAAAAAAAAGCATGTGCCTCCTTTACCTATTCAAAATGGCTTGACTAGAATCTACTTATCTTTTTTACTCGGCCTTATATATACTAAATAATAGGTAAAAAACACCGTTACGGTAAAACTCCGAAATTCCAGATTTCAAAAGGGATTATTTAAAAACCCACAAATTAGGTCCCCCAAAAAACATAAAATCAGGAGAAACCCTGACAATTCTTTTTTTAGCCAAAAATATTCCCAGCGGCAAGTGGTTAATTGGATTTAAACCATGCTAATCAGGATTCTCAATGCAGTGTGCATGATTTATATTGGTAGTCAACTCTGTGTAAAACTACTATCACTGCACTGAGTCTGATTTATTTATTCATCCACAGTCTGATTTATTTATTCATCCACGGTCTGACAATACAACCAGACACGATGCTTATTGTACACGTTGTATGGGCAGGATGGCCACATGGTGGGATTTGTACTAGTGTCCCACACAGATGCATTTCTTGAATGACGTATTATGCACACAGTTTTGGCTGTACACAATGTATTACCGAACAGGGACAATTGTGAGCAGATGCCATGTAACGACCTATGGGTTACTGGCATTTCGTTCATATTAACAATCTCTGGCTGGCAAATTCAACAAAGCCACCTGAGCAGACAAATCAATCAGGTGACTGCTTTTGACAGTTGAGTGCACCCTGACTACACAAAGCAGGACTGACACTGCGTTTACACTTGATCCCGCAAAGGGATCTCGGATCCTGCGATCGCAATAAAACCACAGGGAAGCTAACCGCAAATAAACTGTGCCGGGTTAACATTCGATCCCGATCCTGCTACGATCCCACATTTACAATGGAAGGAAGGTCATTGAGTGTTCGCAGAAGGTGGCCATTTTCGCGCGTGAATCAGTGCAGGAAGATCATCGTTCTTTATTGACGATGCTACTGCGACTCTGTTACTCACATTGGTTTCATGTACATGTATCTTAGTATTACGGTAAATCGAAAAGGATGATTTAGTCAATAATTTTTTATTAGCTAATATTTAGTTAATATTTTTATCACGCTGGTCCCCTGATTTTTGTTGGTTCACTCAGTTTGAAATTTGAATGAATGTGGGCATTATGCAGGTAAAAATGCCGACAGTTCCTATTGTTTTCCATCACGCAGGAATTGTGTGAGGACTGGTTACAAAAAAAAAGTAAGTCTGGTGACTTTGGTTCAATTTAGGCCTTTTCACACTATGTAGATTGTACGTCCCATCCGTGTTGAAATCTACACGGTTCTGATCTTAAGATTTCACCACGGTTCAATTCCACTGTATTTTCAAACAACTCAACACAACTCCAGCATTTGTGCTGCACATGTAATATGTTTTGATCCGTGTATTGTGCAATTGTTTCATAATACCATGGAGCTCCATGATCATGATGCTACACACGTCCGGCCAACTTACATGGGCACACGGCACTGCACAGCCGAACTTCTGAAAGCTGGCAGCCATCAACGCTTCGCTCATTTTTGCGAAAACTCTGCTGATTTTAGTCGTTACGGTTGGACGGAGCTGTCGGCCAAAATACCTAACCAGTAGCCTTCACCGCATCCTCACTCCATATTGGTCTTTAGTCCCATTTAGGGCCCATTTTCTCGGAGGACAATCTATTCTGTTGCAGCACGATCGAAATCCAGAAGAATGCACGTCTAAAAAGTAAGCGTGGTCGGTGGAAAGGCAGCAGGTCAAAGGTTATTTATTTGTTAGTTGCTTAACAACTACAGTGTGTGATGCTGCTGAGCACATAATCCACGGTTACACAGATGGAACTTAACCCAGAAGTGTTTACACTACAGCTTTCAACACGTCTCATCAACCCACTTCCAGAGCAGGGTTAGTTTCGACACGGATCGCGCGCTCTACACCGTTAAGTGCCGTGTTGCAACTAAGATAACCAACCCTCAAGAGAAAGCATCTTGGAATATTGGATACAAAGGAATACAAAGGAAGGTTAAGCCAATAGTTTTGATGATTATTTACAGTTCTACTCTAATGCACATCGCTATGACGTTCCAGCAAGCTGATGTTTATTGCTCTGCTCATCAGACCAATATATCACTCCTCCGGTAATTTCAGATGTTTAGGAAATCTACAGTTCCGTTCCGCCAGACTGACGCAAAAGGCTATAATTCAAGCGAAACAACTGAGGCTGCCCTCACACACACACGTACCATATTTGAGTGGAGTTGTATTATGAAAGATTTACAGAAAAAAATAAGACGGGCAAGTTTTATGGAGTTGCAAAGCTGGGGGGAAAATGCGTAGGATACCAATAAATAAATTTACTGGCTAAAATATCATGAACAAATACTGGGTGTAAATTGTTCTGAGCAGAATTCTTTGATTGTCACACAAATCTGCTGAACAATACCCGGTAGGTCTCTCTCAAATGACAACATTTCCTACAGACCAGCCACGTGCATCGGCATTTTGAGCGTCAACTTGCATAACGCGCATCGGCTGCGTCGTATTTCGAACACATTTCGAACACAACAAGCGCGCGTGTGTGCAATGCGTGCTTGATTGCGTAAAATACGCAGTTGCAGTTCTCCTAGAGAGATGGCCGTCTTTTTTGAGAGACGCCTTCTGCCTCCAGGCTGCATGAAATTGGATCTGTGAGGTCTAGAATACTGGACACAACTCACAGTATTTGTTTCTAGGTCATTCTATAAATTTGGGGTCCACTTTTTTCTCTGTCCCTGTTACATCTGACATTTATGATTGCATAATCCTAGATGCACTCTTTAGCCACTTCACGCCGGGTTTATATTTGCCGTAAATTTCAATTTTCGGAAACGGCAAAATTTTCCAGCCAACTTCTGATATACAGCCAAACGCCACAAATACTGATTCGCAAGAGTCATTTCAACAGTATTTGTACGATATTTCTTGCCGAAACCTTATACGTTTCAAATCTCAGGGCCCCCAGGGAGAACAGTTCATTGACAACTGATGGGGCTACCCTGGTAAAATAACACGAAATAAATAAATAAATAAATAAATCTCCGGGTTGTGCACTGGAGCGTAAATTGTGCAACAATAGGCCATGCACACCGACAAATTCAAGATCAACACACGGTCCGCCTCCACAGACTTTGTGTGCGTGTCCAAAAGACATGAGGGATTAGCGTGTTTAGATGTCACCCGGAGGCGAGTCGAGGCAATCTGGACGTTTTAACCCGTCAGCCGTGCCCGTGTATAAAAACAGCCAGTGCGTGTATCACATCCTCCGACGCGAACTGGTTAATGCAGTCGCCCCATACTAGTGATTATGAAAAGCGAACTACTACTCATTAAAGCTATAGTCCATCATTTGCAGCCATCTGAAAAGTAACTGGCGTAATTATTGTTGAAAAACAAACTTGGTTGAAAGATAGTAAGGGAACTAAACTCCCTGTGAAATTATTCTTTCTGGGAAGCTGTCATTTTGAAGTAATCAACGAAAGAAGGCATTTCCAACGGTGATTCTTAAGAAGCACCGTAGGAAAATTTAAATTAGTAATTCGTTTTGTTATTCAGTGCAGCGCGCACAAGTATTGGAACGACGCACACGCGCGCGCGGTTGTTGTAATTCGTCGGATCAGTGCGCGACGTCGCGTATAGCTGCAATTCAAAAAAATTCAAAACATGATTCAGTAACTTTTGATTTGAAATTGAGATCTTAGAATGCTGTTTTTCTCGGAATGTACAGCTGAAGCTTAGCTGAAACTTCATCAGGTTAGTTGCTCAGTATCCTTCATTAGATTTTGAACTCTTTTGTTGCTTCAAATGAACAAAATGCACAAATTACAAATGATGGACTGTAGCTTTAAAAAACACATTCTTTAATAGTCATTCTTAACGATAATTGAATGGCAAATAACACAGTTCAGTGGCAACAGGGACTGGCAAAATGTCATACTTTGGACCCTGAATGTATAGAACCCTTCTGCGGGGGAGGTGAGCAATGTTTTATTCTATCGATGATGTCACAGCTAAAAAATGGCTTTTTTATTATGGGTGGGGACATGACTAAGTCATTTTTTTTCTGAACAAAGTCATGAGTCATTTAGAGAACACAAAAGTTCCCTTGACACCTTCATTTCTTGCAGGTTCATCCATGTAGCAAGTCATTTACTGCGTAATTTTTATTCTGGCTTCCATGAACCTTTAAATTGGGTATCGTCTAATACCGAAGGCAAATTCTGTGGTTTCAAAGTTAAAATGCTAGAGCTTTTTTTTATATTACTACACGTTTTATCTGAGTATTCATGAAATCTTAGTACTTAAAGGTAGAATGGACCATTTGTCATTTGTGTATATTTTTTTTTTCGTTTGAAGCAACCAAATTACTCAAAATCTAAACACAGGTTCTTAAAGAGGTTGTGGAATGCTCGAAGACATTTCCGTCATTTTTCGGGTATATGTAGCCTAAGGTGTGATGAAATAAAAACGACTATTGTGTCTGTCATGAAATGAGTACAAAAGGTACTTTTGAGAGCTGTTTTTCAGGTCCTGTTTCGACCCGAACGTGCAATTTGTGTAAAAGTTGTCTTTGGGGGCAGCAAACAAAACCTAGTAAATCGTGACGTAATAAACAGGACTCCCGATGCAGCGTAGTATAAACGAGTCCTGTTTATTACGTCACAATTTTTCTCATTTTACGAAAAACCCGACAACTGCTGATTTCAATTATGCGCTCACCGACCAACAAATTACACGCTGAATTTCAGTTTTATAAACATATAAACGCACATTACAAAAGAAGGGGACTTTGTCATTATGATATACATGTATATGGCTCTACTCTACAATAAAAAAATATAAAAAACAAAACGACTTTCAGCATTCCACAACCTCTTTAACAGATACCCTGATGAAATTTAAGCCCTGTCAATACTGGATATTTTCGTTTAGCCAATTGGACATGTAGCTACGTGATGTCACACACTGAACCGACGAATAATAGCAGCTGCGCACGTGTGACGTGTGTGCATCGTATGAACGCTTGCACCCATTCAAGGATTCGCCCAATTACACACCAGCTACAAACGGAAATTTCCAAAACTGTGTCACTTGACACATCTTTGGAAATGACCTTCTTCTATTGTTTTCTTGAAAATGAAAGAATAATTTCACCGGGAGTTTTAGTGTCATAATAATTTAGTTGGTTACTTTTTGGATAGCTGCAAATGGTCTACTCTACCCTTAAAGCTGATGAGGAAAGAAAAATGGAGAGAAACAAAATCTTGCCTGCTATAAATCATCATGCAAGAGTTGTAATTAAAAAAAAAGGAAACCACCCGGGCCCAATTTCATGGCGCTGTTAAGCACACGATTTTATGCTAACAGAACCTCCGTCTATCCCATGGAGACCGTAAGCATGAGCACAGCAAAAGGCACGCTTACTTCAGAGGAAAAATTTGCTTAACTTAGTGACGTAACAATAGAAATCTCCATGCACGCGCGACCGTTAGCACGTCCACGCCGTGAAATAGTGCTAAGGGTTAGCAAATTTGTCTGCTATGCTAAACACACCTTTTCTGCTAACTGTTAAGTAGCGCCGTGAAATTGGGCCCTGGCATGGTTTTGTTTTGTGCCAGGAGGTCATTCTTCCTTTTTGATCCCTGTTGCATAAATTTATGTTCGGATTTTTTGTCACTAACCCGAGGGGCACTGTGTGTGTTGTCCGCCAAAGGGAAGGCAAACTGGCAGACCACCGGCTTCCTCTTCATACAAACTGCAGACAGAAAAGGAGAGAAAGGAAACAAAAAATATGCAAATAATTCAACGAAATCTGACATAGTTTAACCCTAACCACCCTAACCCTTCAAAGTCCAACTGCATGTTTTGTTGGAATCTGTTGGAGTGAGTACTGCAGTAGTATGCTTTACATGGGGTCTTGCTGGCAAACCACCATAAACAGAGTCCAATTAACAGTTGAGTTTACCATAAGGTGTTGGATTTCTGCCACCATACAAATTTGGATCCAGCCTCAATCCTCCAAAATCATCCATTATTGTAGTGGAGGGGTAACCACTGCCTCAATCCTTCAAAATCCTCCAACAAAACGCTGTTAATAGGTTGAGAAGCAGTGCAAATCAAGCGTAACACGGGGCTCAATTATGCACATGCAGCTGAACTTATACAAACAATGCTGGGTACACTGGTACAGCCTACAAAGTCGACACAGTGCATCCTCCAAACTCAACTGATGCTGTTTTGCCATTTAGCCTCAATCATTCAAAATCCTCCAAAACTGCCCGGAGGATTTTGGAGGTTTGAGGAGGGTTATGGTCACAAATTAACAAAGAAAAATGAATGTTGGATATGAAGGCTCCGGCAGGATTAAGCATTTTGGAAAAGATACGGTATGGAAATTATAAAGGTTAAAAGTAATCAGGGAATAGCCATAACCACATTATGAAGGCTTTGACCTGTCAGAATTTGCCATAAATGTACACGTACGCAATGCGGATATGGAACAGCTGAATCCATTTCTCATATGCTTATGTGTTTACTGCTGGCCATGGCCAACTTCAAGTCATTTACAGTGTAGATGGAGATTTATTAGCATAAATTATGTCTAGAACCACAAGGCCATTTGCCAATTCAACTTGGGCCAATTTATTTTATTATGATTTCCTTAGAGAAAATAAAAACTCAGGAAGTCCGAGTTTTACAGTGCGTGACTTGAATTGGTGCTGGAGGGGGCGGGGGGGCGGTCAGAGCTGTATTCATGCAACTGAAACAGCCCTTGAAAGGAGGGCGTGTCTAAGCTGCACAAGACCTCTGCAGTGTTCTTAGTTTTTATATTTCGTAATTCAATGATCTGATAGTTGCATTCATGGAAATTGCAAATGCTAGTTTCATAAAAAACTGTAAAACTGGGTTATATTTTAGATATCCATAAATATACACGAGACAGTTTACCCATTTTTATTGGTCGAGAGCCCCTCATGTTGGAGGTTTTATACTGTCAGTTTAACACAGCTGCATTCTGCGCAACATCGCGCCAATTTCAATTTAAGGAGATTTTTGGCACTATGCACGCAAAGCACATACCATAGTCATGGCCAGAGGGGTGTTTCACAAAACATGAAGTAAAACTGTCGAACAAAATAATTGGAAATTAGTGAATTTTTGACTTGTTTTGACTTTTGGACAAAAGGTATTTATGAATGGGAATCGAGAGCCCCTCATGTTGGAGGTTTTATACTGTCAGTTTAACACAGCTGCATTCTGCGCAACATCGCGCCAATTTCAATTTAAGGAGATTTTTGGCACTATGCACGCAAAGCACATACCATAGTCATGGCCAGAGGGGTGTTTCACAAAACATGAAGTAAAACTGTCGAACAAAATAATTGGAAATTAGTGAATTTTTGACTTGTTTTGACTTTTGGACAAAAGGTATTTATGAATGGGAATAAATATGTGCTTCGCCGGTACATTTAAAATCGGCAAGAGGACTGACCACGGATAATGACCCTTGCCTTTGGCTCAGCCCATTATCCACATCTAGGCCCTTAGCTGGTTTTAAACAAACTTGTATAAAACCGGCCAAGCACATTAAAGGGAATATACATCATTTGCTTTTGCTGTAATTTTCAGAAATGGATGGAATTGGGGGGTTGGACATATAGCAAATATAGTTACACCAACTTTTTTGAGGTTTTGGGTTCGAAAATGCTATAAAAAACAAGAAAAACAATCATTTTCCTGTAGTCTGGTTCCCTGACTCCATATAAGAAGAAACAGAGCAGTTTACATACATTGGGAAATTGTAAGGTCAGGGAACCAGTCTACTGGTTGCTGGCTTGTACCCATTCATAGGTGTGTAATCGATTGCAAACAAGTGCGATGGTCAATTGGGGCCAGTATTTGAAAAAAAGCCAGTTTTTTCCAACGCTGGTCGGCCGACCAGCGTTGGAAATTGATACAAAAATACCACTTTTCTTGAAAATGACAGTATACCAGGTGCCATGATTTTACAGGATGCTTTACACTGTCATTCACTAACAGTCCAGCAAGGTATTTCAAAATGATTTGGTAGTTTTATTTTTTGATGTTTGCAAATGTTGTATTTTCCCTTTAACTCGAACTCCCTAGGATTTTTTGCTAAGAGTTTTTGCTTGAATATGGTCCGTGGAGGGGTGACCACTGCCTCAATCCTGCAAAATCCTGTGGCAGTGACTGTCAATATATTGAGGCTTGGCCAGTGACATCCTGAAGCAGTACGGAGGATTTCAAGCATATCATTCCAGACCTATTGGCCTATTTATGCATGGATTTATTTATGCATGGATTTTATTTATGCATTTAGGCATGCATCAAAAACAAGACAAGGTCCGGCCCAAGACCATGACAAAGTGCATCCTACCATGATCCTACGAAATCAGTAACGCACATCTGCCATGTAACCTCAATCCTCCAAATTCCTCCACTTTGGCAAAGAGGAATTTGAAGGATTCAGGGTGGTTAGGGTTAACTACACCGTAATAATGCTTGAAACCGCTTATAAATTACCTCTCAGCTATTCACGAAAACACAGGAAAATAGCATGCTCCACGGATCACCTTGAAAGTCTAACTTCAATCTTTCGCTCAAAGCAGTCAATATTTACAATTGGACCACATCAATGATGGCATATTTAGATGTACACATGTTTACAGATGAAGATAATATTTACTGTGCATGTGAAAAGAGCATATGTACGTATTATAAACATACCGGTAACAACATCAATTTTTGCAGACTGTGTGAGCCAATCCCAATTCCAAGGGAATTTTAACTCAAGTTTTTAACACAGTAAAAAGAATGTACATGTACACATATGTAACTCACTTTGACATACCGGTACATGTGTAATAACCCTAACCCCCTAGGCCTTTTTGCTATGAACCATCCCCATGCAATCCTCCAAAATCCTCAAAAATTTTACACAACAGCGCCTAAATTCTTCAAAATTTTCAGACAGTCCTGCCTCAAAATGCATTCATCCTCAATCCTCCAAAATCCTCCTCATCTAAAAATGTTCAAATGAAGGGTACCCAGCCCCTCAACCCTTCAAAATCGTCAGACAGTCCTGCCTCAAAATACCATTCAGCCTCAATCCTCCAAAATCCTTTTCTGAAAAAATACCATTCATCCTCAATATTCCAAAATCCTTTTCTGAAAAATACCATTCAGCCTCAATCCTCCAAAATATCTAAAAAAATACCATTCAGCCTCAATCCTCCAAAATCCTTCAAAACCACAAGGAGGATTTTGGAGGATTGAGGAGGGTTAGGGATAATGCATACAAATGTGCATGATTTGGAGAAAAAAAATCTTGTTTGCTCTACAGTTACTCAGGAAACTTTTGGCTAATTACATCATATGCATAAATGTTTATGTCCAATTGGAATTTATTCGATCATCGACTGGATATTCCAATAATCTTAGCTGTTTGAATATTCAAAAGAAATAAAGTACATGTACACATGAACACGCCTGTTATGTTATTTTTATCGTAATGTTGCTGCGCTTTTTGTCAGATGCCACTTTGTGTCGAGATGTGGGCAGTAACTTTTTTCAACAGAGGTTCATTGTTCTCATCCTTTTAGCAGGTGGAAGCCCTTAGTTGTAAAGTACATGTACTTACTGCAAAACATTCCAGTCTCCAGTGGCCCATAACATCGATCGCTGCACGCAAATTTTAACTAGTGCGCTTTGCGTGCAAGTTTTAACAGGTGTGGCCCACTGTTGCAGCTGGCGCATGTACATGTTTTTTTTTGTAAACTTGATCGACGACTTTTGAATATTGGATTATTCGGTCATTTAATGCAGTTTCGAATAAATGAATACTAAATTATTCGAAATGGACAGCCCCATGTGCAATTTGAAAGGCAATTTTTATTCACACTTTGGGCCTTCAAAAAGCTTCACTTGCGGAAAACAAGCTGATGCCAATACCAAACTATTCTATCCAAAAAAAAAAAAATTATTGCAATGCAGTGCAGAAATTATTGTCAGAACGATTTACATCAATGTACATGTATGTACACGTTATGTACATGTGATTTCTCCTTCTATATATGGCCACCAATGCAACAAAGCATCGAATTCCTCTAAACTGAAACCTATTTTTATTTTTCAATTGTAGTATTTTCGAAAACCAAACAGGAAGCCTTTTGAGAATTTCTGATGATGAAGTGCTTCAGCCTGTGGCTGTGTGGACATGTGCTTTGGGGTTAGCAGTCATGCATGATGATCGCTGTATAGGCCATTGATCCATTGCTAAATCCACTGTAAAAGCTTGGGAATTTGTTATACAGCTGTAGTACACCATTGTGCCTGATACACAGTCACAACGTTAACCATGCCTTGGATATATATATTTTTTTGGGGGGGGGGGGGGGAATCCCTGAATCCTTTAATTTGTGTCCACTGTCATTTGCTACCATCAGTATGGGCTCTGTGCACAAGTACCCCATCAACGGCCAGAAAAGGAGAGTTGGGGGTGACCTAGACTGGTTCCCGATCCATCCACTGCATATATTTCAAATGTATCCAAAGTTATTGGAGGCGGGGATTAGTCTCGGAGACCATCGCAAGTTGAATAAGAACGTATTCGCGCGCCGATGACGCCTACGCGAAGATGCAGTGGCTATAGCTTTTGCACATTCAGGAAGTCGTGCGTACTTCGCGCGCAAACCAGTACAGTACAGTACGCGCACGCTGTGTGTCCCATCCACA